TAAAATGGTCAGGTTCTAGGCTAGTGCAATTCATGTAATCCCAGGAAACAGTCCATCCAGGTCATTAAAATGATCTATGAGTTTTTAGAAGCGGTGGCAGAGATAGTGTTATCATCTTGGGTTCTTCAAAATGGAGCATGCCAAAGCCACTCAATTCTAAATTTCTGCGGTTACTAGCTTAGTAAACTCTGTAGTTGCCTTGGTAACTAAGGATGATGCTGTGGGTGACATACGGCTATGTGTGAGCACGCACCTGACAGCATCCTCACCCCATGGACCTGCTGAGAACAAGGGGGGAGAGGAACAAGACAGCAGAGTGCCCTGGCAGGTTCATAACTTGATGGTTGGTGCCAGTGTGGCTTGTTTCTGGCTGTGCTGAGGGCTCCAGGGTTCTTCAATGAAACAATTTTATCAAGAACACAGATCAGACCTGAGCGATGGCAGGGAACGAGATGTGGTGATGAACACAATGATGGAGAAATTGTAAACAGCTTTCAGAGTTTTGGTGACTTCACATGACATGAATCAATGGTGTGATGTGACCACCCAAAAAAAGAGACTTAAGGAAGGGCACCTTCACTTGATGAAGTGGAAGATTTTGTGACTTTGGTGTTTCTGTTTTTTATTTTTGTTTTTGTTTTTTGGGGGGAGAGGTTTTTGCTATAGGGCACATGCGCTCGCTAGAAAGAGAGAGAGAGAGAGAGAGACAGAAAGCAAGAAATCACCCACCAGGGGGGATGGCCACGCCGCAATCCCTTCTCCTCCATTCTCCTCTCGGGATCTTGGGCACGCACGCACACGCGCCTGGCGCGAATTTAAGCCACCGGGTCTGCGACTCGCACCGCGGTCGACTACGTGGGAGTCCAGCCACATAGCCATTACGCTGACGTTGGTTTTTGTCTAAAGGACACCGACTGTTTCTACAGTATCACAGAGAGAATGGCTGCAAGTGGCCTTCAAATCTCACCATGTGGGGCATCTGAGGGTTCTTACTCTATAATGGAGAGTTCGGTGTATGCTGGGGCGGGGCAGAGACGCACGTGGGCTTCAACATTTAAGAAACTGCATCTATAGAAGGAGGGTGGGTTGTCCATTTTGCTCAGGAGCCTCAAAAAAGCCTGCAAAAGCAAAGTGTCACAGAGTTGTAGGAAACCAGAAGGGCTTCCTAGAGGGGCCGGGTAGGCTCACCCACTGCCAGTGTGTTGGCAGAGAAGTGCGCTTGACAGATAGGGCTGCCGCAGGGCTTGAAGCACCTGACACCAAAGTGGATCGGGCGACCTGAGGACTCTGCCAGGCCTCGTACTCGCCAAAGAAGTGAAGGAACCTGTGATGGCCAAGCCGGAGTGCTCCTGATGCTCACCTCCCTCACTCGACTCCTTGAAGGCAGACTCCTTCCTAGCGACATCACCATTGTGTACTGCAGTGTCGAGCATTGTGCTTTCCACACTGCGGGGTCAGCCAATACCCGGCCAAATGTTTCATTTCACAGGTGTCACAGAGGCTCGTTTCCCGGAGACTGGCTACTCCTGGGATTTGGGGAGATGCTCACTCATGCACCCAGGGTGATTTTCAAGCCGGCAGATCTGGGATTCAAATCATGGTTGGCCATGTGGGAGTCCAGCGGCAGAACACCACCACGCCACCTGCTGGCCCCCTCTCTACTTCTCAAACCAAGTAAACGCTGATTGTTCCCAGACAATAATGGCGGTCGTATTTTCCAGGATATTACAGTGTGGGCGTGTAATGCCTACAGCTGCAATAGACATCTTATGACCGTGAAGGAAATCAGTCGGCGTACTCAGTATGACAGCTCAAAAGACAGGAGACCATCACAGATTGATCTTTAGGGACCAGCAGATGGCATGAGGTTACGATGCTGGAGTCCCACTTAGTTGACCATGGTTTGAGTCCCAGCCCCAGCAGCTTAAAGCTCCTGTCAGGAGCATGTGCATGCATGCCCAAAATCCCAAGGAGAAAGGCAAAATCTCAAGGAGAATAGCAAAATCTTTAAAAAAAAAAAAAAATTGATCTCTGAGGACGTCACCAAGTCACTAAGATAATCGGCTCCGACATTGTCTCCCTCTCTTCTTGGTATCAAAGGGGACGGTACATCCTTTTCTTGTTTAAGCCACTGAACGTTGGGTCTTCTATTATTTGCCTTTGTTAATATGCCAATTCACATATGACAGCTCTATTTTCTGAAGGTTTTCATATTTGAGAGTGTTGAGTAGAAATATTCTTGTTTTATACTTTCCCCCAAGAACTCGGTAAATACGGGTTTCTCCTCATCTGGCATTGAAAGCCACAGTGGGGAGATTAGAGACTAGCCAGATCCCACCCACCACTTCCCATTGAAGTCCAATGACACGTCCAGGGTATCTGCTGCTGTTAGCCTATATCTGTTTTCCCCTGAACATAGTGACAATGTTTATCTTCAGATTTAATTCTTTTATTTCAGAAATGTTTCCTTATATCTCTGAAAAAATCTAATTTTGAAGTTCTCTTCAGCAACATCAATTAACCTCTTTTTTTCTGGAGAGGTTTTTTGCTATAGGGCACGGGCGCTCACTAGAAGGACAGAGACAGAAAGCGAGAAATCACCCCCCTAGGGGGGATGGTCACGCCGCAATCCCTTCTCCTCCATTCTCCTCTCGGGATCTTGGGCATGCACGCATATGCACCCAGTGTGAGTTTAAGCTACTGGGTCCAGGACTCAAACCATGGTCAACTACATGGGAGTCCAGCAACATAGCAATTATGCCATCTGCTGGCCCCCAATTAACCCCTTCTAATTGCTTAAATGTCTCAGTTTTTCCCTGTCTACATTCACTGTAACTGATTCAAACTTTTCCTGTGACTAAACTGACTAAATAGTGGCCACTCTACTCCTTAGTTTTTCTAACTTATTTTCCATGTTGGACTATTTCTGATTTTCATCTGGCTTCTTAGCTGTGTAATCTTCTTTCTCTGATCCTTTATGCATTTTATATTCTCTCTCCCCTATCTTATTGTATTAAATTAATGTTCTTATTAACTTACTGTATATCATGGAACATGTAAAAACATTTTCTTCATAGTAGTCCCCCCTTATTCATGAACAATACAATTCAAGAGCCCCTGAAGGTTCCTGAAATTGTGGATAATACCAACCCCTACATATACTCTGTTTTGCCATGTGATAACCGAGACCGCTGCTCAGTGACTAAGAGGTAGGGGTGGGGAGGCAAACGCGGCATGGCTACAGCTGGACAAGGGGATCGGTCACCACCTGGTGGGTAGGAGGGTGGTGGCACAAGATTTCATCACTCAGATGGCATGAAAATTAAAACCTACAAACTGTTTGTTTTTGTAATTTTCCATTTAGTATTTTTGGACCACAGTTGACTATGGTTAACTGCAACCATGGAAAGTGAAACCGTGAATAAGAGAGGCCCACTATATTTATTTGATGACATTTCCTTACAGACCAGTTCTTCACCCAGGTCACCCACTCACCCATGCTTTTTTTTTTTTTTTTAATTAGGTCTGGGATTTAGATAGTGGATACACTGCTTTTATTTTACTTACATTTAACAAGTTGCTCTTTGAATTTCCTGTTTGTAAAAATACAGCGTGAATACATTCTTTGACACCCTTCGTTTGCTCTCTGAGTGAGTGGAGGGCTGGGACATTGCGGTGGCACCTGCTCTGGAGCCTGAGTGCACGTGAACGCAAGGACCGCCCCACTCATCCATGACTGCCCCGGCTCTGCTCTCTCCTCCGAGATTCCCTTAAACTCTCCGACTGCCCTGCGCCTGTGCAGGAGTGCAGAATAAGATCCCCTCGACGTTGGATCCAGGGTCCCAGAAAATGGCAGTCCTAGTGATATTCTGTCTGCTCTTGTCCTGCAGGAAGCAGGGTCAGGGTTCTCCCCCACGGTTTTTATTGCCTACGTTTCCCCAGGTGGCATGCTACCCTACCCACCCCTTCATCTCACTTCTTTCATACTCGGATCCTGGAATCAAAAAGTGTTAATGAGAACTCTCGGTATGAGTCTACCTGGGCTCTTTCCCCAGTAGGGCTTTTGGGGAGCGGGGCTGAGGTCATACACTGCTCATTTCTATTTCCTGAGTAGTCTTTGAAGTTTATGGCAGCAGCCTGTACTTAATTTCTCATTTGACTGCTCCATTATTTGGGGGTGGAAGGCGGGGGTGGTTTTCACTATTCTTTTGTTCATTTCATTGGTAATGGTGGGAGAGAGGTTTTGTGGTCCAGATCAGTCCTACCCATTTTTTGCCCTTTAATTTGCCAGAAAGTGCCAGTGCTAGCCAGAGACAAAGAGGGGGTGAGAGGAAGCGCCTCCCAGTGGGTGTGGTCGTGCTAAGTCCTCTCCTCTCCCTCTCTCCATGCACCCACACACAATCTGGTGCCTTTTTCAAGTCACCGGGGCCAGGATTAGAACTGCATGGTCACCATGTGGGGTGCAGCTCCCTTAACCCGTTACTAAGGAGGAAGAAGCACTGCGACACTCGGCCACTATTTAACACCCACGTAGCATTTTCCCATCACGAGGCGTCTCGTTTCTTCTCATCCCGAAGCCGGCTCTCAGTCCTCTCTCGTCCCCAGGCCTACGTCTGCCCTGGGCGCAGAGCGGATCCCAGTTAGGTCCCGAGATGACGGCTGGCTGTCGCGCACGCTGCACAGACGAGAAGGCTGCGGCCAGAACCCTTAGGGACCTCGTCCACGGCCACAGACAGAAGGTGGATGGCAGCGGGGCCATCAGGAAGCCGGCTGGGACAGGCGGGGCCCGGAGAACGCTCGCGGGCGGACTGGGCCGGGCGGACCGAGCCGGGGAGCTGGGCGCCTCCCTTTGGCTCCCGCGGGGCCGCAGCTCCTCTCCGGGCCGGATCCCACGCGCCAGGCACCTACAGAGCCTGCCCGCGTCCGGCGCGGTTGCCACGGAAACAGGAGGCAGCCGCGCAGGCGCGGAGCCAGGCGGGTCGGCACTGCGCAGGCGTAGCGTCCCCGTTGCTAGGGCCGCCCCGCGCTCGCTGAGGGACCGGATTACTAAAGTTCCCGGGTGTCGTTCAGGACAGGAGTCTCGAATCCCGCCGTCGGTGACTGCGCGCTCCTGCCTGTGGCCTTTCTCTGCCTGAAGTGAAAAGCTATCCCCGGTTCCCGTCCCTCTCTCCGGAAAAATCCCGCACCCCTTGACGCCCCGGGCAGTGCTCTGACCTGCAGCCAGAAGAGCTTCCCAGCGGGCGAAGGACAGAGGGAAAGTAGCCAGCCATGTCGAACGCGTAAGTGATGCGCTGCCGTCCATAGCCCTCGGGCGGGCTTCTCCAATCCAGCGAATGGATCTTCCTTCCCTTCCTTTTCTTCTCCTCTATTTTCCCTCCGCCTCCCGTACCGTCCTTTTTCCCTTTAGCGAATTCCGAAATACCACAGGATATCTGCAGTCAAGGAATGCCCTCCCCTCCCGGCAAGATGGGCCCTGCCGGCCTTTGCCTCTGCCCGCTAAGTCCCGCCCTGTATTGCTCAGGGCGCAGTACTCCACACCTGCTTGCTGGTGTGTTCGTTTTCCGCAGGAATAAATGAGCAGCTTTGTGACAACTCCCAGGTCCCAAAACCTGGCAGGAAAGAGCTCATGGAGGCGTGTCGTCTGGTGCTTTCTGCCTAAGAGACCAGTCGGGAGTTGTGGGCCTGGGAAGAGCTCCGACTGCACCCTGTCCACAGCGCTTCCATCAGTTAACTTATTTGGTTTCAATTATTATTTTTTTAAATATTTATTTCATTTATTATTTATTTTAAAATTTGCTGTAGGACACGTGTACTCAACAGAGAGACACACAGTGGGTGTGAGGAAGTGAGAGCAAACTGCCAGGTCCGGACCTCGAGCCGCGGTCAGCCATGTGAGAGTCCAGTGCCCTAGCCACCACGGCCTGCTGGTGCTGGTCTCAGTTTACAGTAGTCACGTGTGCTGCTGACCCGGCACCGTCTCCACAGCAGCCTGCACTGTCGGGGCTGTTCGTGTTACTTCCACCTTACAGGCCAGGAATGTCGGTACAAGGAGGCTGGTGGCTCGTCCAACAAGGTGCCCGGTGCAGCTCCAGCCTGCGCGCTGACCGCTACCCTGTTTTCTGGGCAAGGAACCAGGAGCAGAGCGGGGGCAGGGGAGGAGGCGGTGCAGTTCGGGACCTGGGACTGGACACCAGGTGGAGGTCGGAGTACTCGCCTGTCTCAGCACAGCTGGGCGTGGGCAGCTGGCAGTCTGGGACAGAGAGCACAGGTAGGAGAGGGCATGAGTGCTGGCCCGTGGTCACCACAGCAAGAGACGGGTGAGAAGAGACACCAGCAAAGGAGTCAGAGGCGTCGTAGGTGAGGAAGAGGCAATTCAAGATGGAGTGGTGCCCTGGAAGCCAGGTGGGAAAGCATATCCCTCCCGTGTTCCTAGGAGGCGGTGACAGACTGCCAGGGGCTGGTGACACAAGCCAGAGAACTGAGAACCGCTGGTTCCGCAAGGGGGAGTCCAGCAGCCAGAGCAAGGCTGATTCAGTGCTGCTAGGTAGAAGGCCTTGTGCGAGTGTGTGGGAGAGAAGGGACGAGAGGACTGACTGACCATGAGAATAGCGGACTTCCTGGAGGGGAGGGACAGGGTGGGTAGCTAGTGGCAGGAAGCAGATCCAGAGGGATTTTTTAAAAATAGGAAAACAGTAGCACGTTTGAACAAAGGCGTGGCCTGGTGGTTAGGAGGACAGGACGATTCGGGAGCAGGGACGATTGGGTTCCATCCATGGCAGTAAAAAGACACGAGACCCAGCAGATAGCCTGGGTGGGCCGAGAAACCCTGTCACTCAGCAGCAAGAACAGGTGAGGAGGGGCGTGGGCAGGTGCTCTGGCAGAGTCTGGAAAGATGACAGTAGGTGGTCGAGGAAGGCGATGTTGGGGGCCGTGTGACAGCATCTGCTTAGAGCCAGGAGTTATTGGGGAGAGGGGGTGGGCTGGAGGTGATAAGAAAGAGCAAGGGGCACCTGACCAGTCCCACAGCCGGGGACAGGAGGGCCCTGAGGGGAAGGGGGTCTCTACTGAGAGGGCCTCTGGCCTCCCTAGAACGAAGGCGGAGCGGGTACTGGGGAAGAGGATGCCAAACTAGGCCAGGCTGGGGGAATTCGAAGGCTTATCACGTGTGAAAGGGCTTGGCGAGAATTCCCATTTTGCAGTGCATAGGTTCCCGTGGAAGTACATACATGTTTATATATTCCTCTCTCCCTCCTCTACCCCTCGGTTACAGGAGGACTGCCGAGCTGTAGAAAGAACGATCTGGGTGTTTTCAGCTGTCATGTACAGTCTCCCCCACCCACAGTCCTCCCGAGTTCAAAATCGGTAACATTTCTAGGTTTTCGGCTCAAATCTGAAACCAAGCATACACTTGAAAAGACAGTGAGGAGGTCCGGGATAAAATACCACCTCCTCTTCGCGAGGCACATTTCAATGTCGAGAACACTGTCCCCTCTGTTACCCCATTCCGCCTGACCTCGGGGCCTTCTGGAGTAGGTGTCATTGTGCACATCTGCCACTCAGGAGGCAAAGGCACAGGAAGGTCCAGAGACCAGCCTGAGAGGAACCCCGCCTGGAGTCGGGCCTCAGAAAGCCACCTTGCCAGACTCAACCACCACGGCAGGTGGCATGGTGGTTAAGGCACTGGACACTTCCATATGGCCAACTGTGGTTTGAGTCCCGGACCTGATGGCTTTGTTTTTCTCTCTCTCTCTCTCTCTCTGTCTCTCTCTGTCTCTCTCTCTGTCTCTCTCTCTCTGTTCAAATGAAAATAAATGAATGAATAAATAAAATTTTAAAATATAATAAAATAAACACATGTGTGTACACAAAAGGTCACACGGGAATGCTGATGGCAGTGCGACCCAGTTGCATAGGTGTAAACAGCGCATGTCCATCAGCTAGGGGATGGACCAGCAGCATGGGCATACCCAGGCAGTGGGGATAAAACAAAGCGTGATTTATGCTCCAGTACGGATGAACTTCGAAGACATTATGCTGAGTGAAAGGGGCTGGTCATGACAGGCCCCCTGCGGCATGATCGTGTTTCTGTGACAGCCCCGAGTGGTCCGGGGAGGGAGAGGGCGGGGAGTGACTGCGCAGTGGGCCACATTTCGTTTGGAGGGACGGACATGTTCTGAAACTGGACAGCGGTCGTGGTTGCAGGGCTGTGAATTTCTAACCACCCCTGAATCATACGCTCAAAGAGAGGGAATTTTATGGTAGTGAATATACCTCTGTAATGCTCATATTAAAAATGATCTTGTGGGACCAGCAGTTAGCATAATGGCTATGTTGCTGGACTCCCACGTAGTCGACCACAGTTTGAGTCCCGGATCCAGTGGCTTAAACTCATGCCAAGTGCATGTGCGTGCGTGCCCAAGATCCCGAGAGGAGAATGGAGGAGAAGGGATTGCGGCGTGGCCATCCCCCCTGGGGGGTGATTTCTCGCTTTCTGTCTCTCTGTCTCTGTCTGGCGAGCGCACGTGCCCTAAGCAAAAACCTCTCCAAAAAAAGAAAAAGAGATCTTGTCACATCTCTCGTGTCAGGTCCTCACAGGCACTGGCTCAGGAAGGGCACCGTGACTGGGTGCCAAGGGAGTAAAGCTCACGCCCAGCCTGGGGCTCAGAGCAAAATGGGACTCCGCAGGCTGCCATGGCCAAGTGCAGTGGTCAGGGCCCTGGCAGTCCAGGGAGCGATAGGTGTGGACAGTGGATAACCCCAGAGGATGAGCCACGTGGAGAGGGAGCCAGGCAGGAGGGAACTGGGATGCATGGAAGCCAGAGATGAGCTCTGGAGAGAAGGGTCTGGGCCTCTTCCAGCACTGAGAACAGCCACATGCAGGGCTGATGGCGTCCCACAGCTGCTTACCGTCTGTCTACCTGGCAGCAACTGGAGCCTGGTCTCTCCAACGGTCACTGAAAAGACGGCAGGCGAGGAAAGAGACTGCAGCCCACCTGGTGCGACCTGGAAGATTCCAGTCCCCCAGGCTCAGCCCTGCCATGCCCCTGCAGGCTGTCTGCCTCTCCACCTTGATCGAAGCCTATGGGGGTGGGGGGGGGGCGACCTGGGCAGCCAGGTTCCTGGCCAGGTATGCCCCAGAGCATTATCCAGGCCTCTGGAGCTCTGGGTGGTTTCTGACCCACACCGTTGGCCATGGGTTCCCTGATGGTAGCAGGAGTCTCCCCAGTCCCTGGTCCCTTGCTCTTAATGGGCGTGGACCTTCTTTGTGGCTTTCAAGTCCCTGACCTGATCCCTCGTAGAAGCAACCTGCTAAGGGTGTAGACAGACGTTATTCTTGTTGGTGGGGTAATGTTAAATCTGTCCATCTCTTTCAGCTTTCCGTATATTACTTTCCACTCGTTCCTATATTCTGTGGCTAATATTCTAGAATTTTCTTCATCTGGATCTTGTGTGGCTCCCACCATGCTAAATTATTAAATATTTCATGGCCTTTGTTGGGCCTGTGACTTAACTTTGCTTGTTTACATTTTCTCTCCACCGAGTTCTGTGGGTCTTAGATCTGTCCTACGGCTTTGCTGTAAAGGTCAACTTCTAGTTTTTGCTACCAATTTCCTTGGATTTTGTAACCCTAACATTACCAAGCGGTGGCTTTTAAAGTAGTTTATATTAACCCCTTATGCATAGCCGTCACCCTTTGTGATTGCTGTTTTTTGAGGGCATGTATCTAGCGTTTCTCCGTTGGAATTATACTCAGTCTCTGGTTTTGAGCATTTTGAGGAAGGCAGCGCTGTCTTACCTGGTGCACGGGGACTGCATCTTTGATGAGGCTCGTGCTCTAAGGCAACATTTAACGGGCCAAATGGTGGCATGGCAGTGAAATGCAGCGCTCTGCAGAGAAGGTTCCAAATTCACATCTGGAAACTTCCCCAAGTGCACTGGGGGTGCGTGCACCCATGTCCTGGGGCCGGCTGAGGCTGGGGGTGGTTCCATCTCTTTCTCACTTATGGGAGAGATAAGTGAACTCTAATGTTATCAGGCATCGTCTCAGCATCTGCGGTAGTAAGTTCTGGTTTTTACTGTTCTGCTCCCACGTGGGTTAAGCTCTCCTTCATACCGAATTTGGAGGGTTCCCGGGTTGATCCTGCCTCAGTTCAAAGGAGCAGTTCTTCCATCTGTGACCATGTTCTGTTTGTTGCACGGAATGCCAACTAGGAGTTCTAGACAAAACCAGCTTATCATTTTCTTCTTTAACGGTGTCCTGCCGGGTGTAGGACAAGCCTGATGTTGTCCACAGAGTGAAGCGAGCACTTTTCTGTTTTATGCTCACAGTTGTGGAGCTCATCAGTGTGTTTCCCTGTGTCAGCTTCAGGTTAGCAGATGCCTCGGACTGACGGTCCCTGCTCCGGTTCTAGGAGATGGCTTTGTCAACCGACTCCACACTCACTCACCCTTTACACACTTCCGCACTGGCTGCTCATAGGCAGGTGTGTGCTGAGCTGCTGTCACTGTGCAGAGCTGCTGTCACTGCCCTGAGCTGGTGTCACTGCTGACCTGCTGTCACTGCACTGAGCTGCTGTCACTGTGCAGAGCTGCTGTCACTGCCCTGAGCTGGTGTCACTGTGCTGACCTGCTGTCACTGCACTGAGCTGCTGTCACTGCATAGAGCTGCTGTCACTGCACAGAGTTGGTGTCACTGCACAGAGCTGGTGTCACTGCACTGAGCTGCTGTCACTGCACTGAGCTGCTGTCACTGTGCAGAGCTGCTGTCACTGCCCTGAGCTGGTGTCACTGTGCTGACCTGCTGTCACTGCACTGAGCTGCTGTCACTGCATAGAGCTGCTGTCACTGCATAGAGCTAGTGTCACTGCACAGAGCTGCTGTCACTGTGCAGAGCTGCTGTCACTGTGCAGAGCTGGTGTCACTGCACAGAGTTGCTGTCACTACAGAGCTGCTGTCACTGCGCAGAGCTGGTGTCACTGCACTGAGCTGTTGTCACTGCACAGAGCTGGTGTCACTATGCTGACCTGCTGTCACTGCGCAGAGCTGTTGTCACTGTGCTGAGCTGGTGTCACTGCACAGAGCTGCTGTCACTGCGCAGAGCTGGTGTCACTACACAGAGCTGTTGTCACTGCACAGAGCTGGTGTCACTATGCTGACCTGCTGTCACTGCGCAGAGCTGTTGTCACTGTGCTGAGCTGGTGTCACTGCACAGAGCTGCTGTCACTGCGCAGAGCTGCTGTCACTGCACAGAGCTGGTGTCATTGTGCTGACCTGCTGTCACTGCGTAGAGCTGCTGTCACTGTGCAGAGCTATTGTCACTGCACAGAGCTGCTGTCACTGTGCAGAGCTGCTGTCACTGCGCAGAGCTGCTGTCACTGTGCAGAGCTGCTGTCACTGCACAGAGCTGCTGTCACTGCACAGAGCTGCTGTCACTGCTCTGAGCTGGTGTCACTGCCCTGAGCTGGTGTCACTGCACAGAGCTGCTGTCACTGCAGAGCCTGCAATTCATCTCCACCCAGTCCTCCTGCTTCCTCCTGCCCTGTCCTGTTTGCTGTATTCTTGAGGCATGGCAGGTGGAATGCCAGGATATTCCAGATGCTTTGACCTGGTACCAGCAGTTGCCTTGTTGGGCCTGCGCCTGTGTGCAGTGGCTGATTAGGCTGGCTGGAGAGAGGCTTTGTGTGCTAGTCACTGCTGTGTAAGGAGTGAGACGTCCGTGTCCGTGTGAAGGGAGTTCTGACTTCCCGATAGCGAGCTCTTTCCTAACCATGCTGTTTGGCAGCTGCTCTCCTGCTGGCAAACCCTGCCGTTTCCGGAGGGCCAGGGCTCAAGCATGCTGGGGGTGGGCTGCCAGGGACCCTGTCAGCAGCCTGACTCCTGGGAGTGGGGAGAGAAGAATTCCCATTTTTTTAAACATGCAGTCAGGGTTATTTCCCTGGTGTTCGCACGTCTGTGCTGTGTAATTTATCATCCCTCATTTGCTTTCTTGCTAACCGACAGGAAGTGACAGTGTGGCATTCAGAGCATGGCCTCTAGCTGGGTACCACGTGCAAATCCTGCACTGGAATCACATGGCTTCGGGTGACCGCTTCTCTGTGCTTCAGCTTCTTCATCTGTAAAGTGGGTGATCATTTGACCTACCTCACGGGATTATCATGTGGATTCCATGCGTTGTTTCATGTAAAGATTTTGTGACAGGGACCAGCAGTTAGCGTAACGGCTATGTCGCTGGACTCCCATGTAGTCGACCGCGGTTTGCTTAAAACTCGGGCTGGGCGCATGTGCGTGTGTGCCCAAGATCCCGAGAGGAGAATGGAGAAGAAGGGATTGCAACGTGGCCATCCCCCCTGGGGGGTGATTTCTCGCTTTCTGTCTCTCTGTCTCTGTCTCTCTGGCGAGCGCACGTGCCCTATAGCAAAAACCTCTCCAAAAAAAAAAAGATTTTGTGACAGTGACTGAGGGTGTATAAGTTTAAGCTATCATCATCATCCTCATCTGAACTGAAAGACTTTTTATATCAAATATGCTGGGTTTTTGTTTTTTTTTTGATAGAGGTTTTTGCCTTAGGGCTTGGAGAGGGAGAGAGAGACAGACAGTGAGGGAAAACGTGGGAAATCACCCTGTGGGGGGGATGGCCACACCACAATCCCTTCTCCTCCATTCTCCTTCCAGGATCTTAGGCACACACACACACACACCTGGTGTGATTTTCAAGCCACTGGATCCAGGACTCAGACTGTGGTAGGCCATGTGGGAGCCCAGCAATGTAACGGATGCCATCTGCTGACCCCGGTACCCATGTGATGGATGTGTCTAACTGTTACACTCGACCCTTCATCTGGAAGTGCAGGCTCGTTCGGGAGCAGCACATGGGGAGCCTGGCACAGAGGGTACCCAGAGGGAAAGGCTGGGTGAGGACGCCAGGAGGGCAAGGAGGGGCTTGCAGGTGTACACGGCTGTGTGTTTATCTCCACTTCCTCCCAAATTGCCTCTAAAATGGCCACAAGGATTCAGCAGGCGTGACTCACGGGGCAAAGAGAACATGTGAGCATCCGAGGAGAGATCCTGAGTATGCAGGAGCAGGCACCAAGCATGGGTGAAGGCTGGCAAGGGGCAGAGACTGAGGGGGGCTAAAAGCCAGCAGTCCCCTGGAAAGTGGGGCTGAAAACAAGGACTGGTCACAGAACTGTATGCGGGGTGGTTAGACACCAATTTCTAGCACACCCCAGAGGGCAGGCGGCTGAGCCACTCCCAGCCCACAGGAGACAGTTCCTACAGGCCATCTGGACCCCGGACGCCAGGCACAGGTCAGCAAGGGAACAGGAGCCAGCTGCCAGCACAGAGAAGATGAGCCCCCCGCTGACCTACATGTTCCTCAGGGGACCGGGCTGCCCTCCTCCCCTGGACACCAGGAAAGACCTTACAGATAAACACCGACATTTGCGTTTCACCCCATCCCAGGGAAACCAGGGGTTTGGATGCTGCTCTGCCCTACCCCCGAGAGTGAAGGCCCTTGTCAGTCACACCAAGTTTCCAGTTCACATTTCAGTCTTGGTTCTTAGGTATAAAAAAGAACCCATAATTGCCCCAAATTTTTTGGGTGGGGGGACGTTTCCTCTGTGACTGTACTGGTTGGAGGTCTGGCAGGAGAAGGAGGTGCACTAGCAGTGTCTAATGACAGTGACATGGGTGCGTACTGAGTCCAGGGGAGCTAACCAGGGGAGACGCAGCGTTCTGGGGCACAGGCAGAGGCATCAGCTCCAGGTCTTCAGTGGAGGATGCACCCAATCCTTGTTGCCTGGCCAGAGCATCTCTCTGTCACCCCATCACCTGCTCACTGGCTTCTTGTCTGTTTAATCAGCTGACTCAAACCACTGGAACAAGAGTGAGGGAGCTCAGGGTACTGTCCATGGAGTCCAGCCTCCCAGCCACAGTTTGCACCCCACTCCTCCACTCTGTCATCTGGCTCCAAGGCTCATAGTCACCCCGTACCCACAGTTCGTTCACTCATTTCATACTGCTGTATAATAGTCCGTGGGGGAATAGACTGTAGTTTGTTTATTTATTCTCTTGATGATGGACATGCGGGTTATCTCCAGGGTTTTGCTGCTATTTAAAAAAAGATGCTGTGGTCATTCTTGGTGCGCATTTATAAGAGTTTCTCTAAGGTATAACGATTTATTCATAGGTATGCACGTACTCAACCTTACGAGGTATTGCTGAGTGACTTTCCAAAGGGCTTGTTCCAGCTTATAATCCACCAGCTGTGCATGGATAAATCAGCTAGTTAATTTGGATGTCGACTACTTCATGGTTTCAATGGGTGGAATGGCACTGGCTTGCTGGTGCAGTGAGGAGTAACTATGCCATTTAAGGGAAAGGCAGTTCTTTTTTTTTTTTTTTTTAGAGGTTTTTGCTATAGGGCGCATGCGCTCACCAGTCAGACAGAGAGAGACAGAGAGACAGAAAGCGAGAAATCACCCCCCAGGGGGGATGGCCACGCCGCAATCCCTTCTCCTCCATTCTCCTCTCAGGATCTTGGACACGCACGCACACGCGCCCGGCGTGAGTTTAAGACACCGGGTCCGGGACTCGAACCGCGGTTGACTACGTGGGAGTCCAGCGACATAGCCATTACACTAACTACTGGTCCCAAGGGAAAGGCAGTTTAACCTGTTTACTTGATGACTGCAGCGATCACATTCAAAAACCACATGCACATTATGTGTGAAACAGGACGCAGATTGTATTGAGAACCTTTGAACCAAGTGCATACAGTACTTAGCCCACACTGGACTGGGTTATCTTACTGCACCAGAGGCTCAGTATGTATACCTAACAAAATAACGTTTGCTTACCACACTCTCTGTCTTGTCTCAGAATGTACAATAAGATGTGGCATCAGACCCAAGAAGCCCTCAATTCTTTGCTCAATAAAGAGTCTCAGAAGATGATGGAAACACAAACAAATCAAAGCTTCATCTTTCAAACATTAGCTACCTTCTACATAAAGTACGTGCAGATCTTCCGAAACATGGAAAATGTCTATGACCAGATAGTCCATCCGCAGAAACGAATTCTGATTCGGAAGATACTGGATGGAGTGATGGGTCGGATCCTGGAACTGAAGAACGAAATGGTCGAGTTGGAGTTGTCCGAGTTTCATTATTTCGATGACATCCTGCAGGATCTCAAGTTGGCCCCTGTAAGTACTCTATTGGCTTTTTTCCTTCCTAGTTTCTTCTTGCGTGTGTGTGATGTGGTGGTCTGTGCCTGTCTAGACATTTGTTAGTTATTGGGCATCTAAACATTTCCCTCCAGTTACACGGACAGCCACGGACAACCATTGCATCCCTTTTGTGTTTGATGCAGATGGAGCGTTGCCCTGTCCTTGGGGCTCTTGGGCATGGAAACAGTTGTGCTCTTGCCTGACCCTGTGGCAAATGCCGAGGGCTAACAGGCTGGAGCGGGCCGGCCCTTTCATAAACATCTGTGGTATAGACCCCTTAACTCCGATAGCAGTGCCCCTACCATTTCCAGGAACCCTCTTGTCTGGCCTTGTTCCCAGCCTCACCCATGGGTGGCCTGTCACTGCTGGCTCCTCCTTCCCAAGAGTTTGTGTTTCCTCCTTTGCACTGGGAAGTGGCGGCCCTGAGGGGAATGGCTGTGAGCCCCAAGCTTCAGAAACCACAGAACCCCCTCATGTGCTCTCACGCCTTGCAGGGCACCTGGCAGCCTCTGTGCCAGCTATGAGCCTCGGCCTCTGCTCTCTGACCTGATGCCCTGTCTGGCCAGGTCCGCCAGGCCCACTGAACACCTCACCTCACATCATGGCCTCAGGAGATCACTGTTCATTTTGAAAGGAGCACTTCCCTGAAATAAAAGTAAAAGGAGAAAATGTTGAGTTTTATGCATGAAGGTTTAAGTGTTCCTCCTTTGAAAATATGTGGGTTTTTGTAAATGTCATCTTTGTTTCTGGGGCAGATGTTCCCAGCATTGTGACCTCACTGTATCAGAATGGACTGAAGCGAACAGCTGACATGGGCAAGCACGTTGAAGAGCTTCCCAAGACTGGCAGAGGCATTGCTCTCGTTTACAAGAGTCCAGGTTAAATCTCCAGGCTTATTCGCTGTGCTTTATGCACGCACATGAGAGCGTGAACAGCTGAGGATAAGTGTGAAAACAGAGTTATTAAATCTTATTCTTATTAAATCTTCTAACTAATGAAGTAATATCAAATGTATGAATTTAATTTCAAGAATATTAAATACTGTCTCTAAGTTTAAGAAATGCGAGTTTCTGAAAATTCTGTGCTGGGGTGCTTTAGTTTCCCTTGCTCTGCCTCCAGCCCCACCAGCCCCTCTGCTCTGCCTGGTTCCTATCCCTAACAGCCACACGGCTGTTGCTGTAGTGGAACCACTGAGCGCCCAAGTGGTCCCAGGGTGGGACATCACCCAGGGAGCCCTCGCTGAGGGGACCAGCCACAGCCCCGGGCATTGTGACTGAGCTGTGCAGTGTCCCACAAGTCCTCGTGTTTGGGGATTCCTCCTGCAGTCAACCGCAAACAGTGCCCTGACCAGGGAGACATGTGCCAGCCCCCAAGAAACTCTGTGCAGCCAGTGTGTGTGTGTCAGGGTGAAACCCAGCCAGCTGGCCCTGGCAGTGTCCTCGCCTCTGGCTATTGCCCGTGAGGCTCACAGCTCCTCTGTGTTCTGTGTAGCCAGGCCTTTGTACGACCTGGCCCTGTGCCCCCGAAATGTAGCCAGGGGTTCAGAGAAGGGCACCGCAGAGTTTCTGCCATCAGACTGTCCCTGAGGAATTCTGAAACCAGGACAGAGAAAGTGAGAACAGTTTCATCTCAAGGTCTGAGCTGTACTCTCCTCAATGCATAAGTGGAGCCTTTGTTAACCAGGTAACCTGAAGAGTGGAGAGAGCCTTGTTTGGTTGAGAAAGGAGGAAAGAGAGAGGACAAGTGGATGCACCCAGTGAGGTGGCCCCGACAGCGCAGTCCTGAAGTAGCTCTGTCCCTGGACACACTCTCATGGCTGACAGATGCGGAGCTATGTCCTGCCCTTGGTTCCACAAGGTCCCTTGTGCCCTTTGGCAATTAAAAATAAATAAATAAAACCCATAACTATATTTCCGCAGTCCTAAATCAACCAGATAAGCCATGTCAATGAAGCTGTATTTTTAAAAGTTGGAAAAGTACAGCACTCACAAGTGCCTATTCGAGAGTGAAGTCACCATGGTAGGTGGACGTTAACCCTTTCTCACTGTCCTGTCTGCAGGTTACCCTCACCCAGAGACCCTGGCAGCTCACTCTCAGATCACCCAAAAAATCTGTTACCCAAGGAAAGTTTGGATGTTCAAAAGCTATTTCACCTCCCAGAATACCTGGGGATACTGTCCACCAAATCCTAAAAATGATACCCCTTTCTGTTTCATTCTTGTTTAGGGAAATGTAAATCCAAAGGCCTCTGGGTTGTGGGGAGGGATCAGGGCATCACATCCAGAACTGGAAAAAAAGGAAGCTGGCTCTAAAGACCAAAACCTTGACTTCCCTAGTCAACTGGTCTACTAGGAAGAGCCAGGTGTGTCTGACAAGTGTCTGCGGTGATGATTCTCAGCCGGCCAAGGCCCACGCACACCCCTGAATAGCACTTCCACACTCCTGACTGTTGAACTTGAATGATAAATACTCATTTGACCTCTATTTGTGACAACTATTTGGTTATGCACACAAGTAAAGAACTTTGTGTTTCTTGTGAAAAAATAAAAGTTTCCTACTAAGGCAAGTTAATCTTATGTATACACACACACACATAAACACACACACACACACACACACACACACACACAGAAAGTGAGAAAGCAAGCCACCAGATCTGGTACTCAAAATTTGGTTATGCACACAAGTAAAGAACTTTGTGTTTCTTGTGAAAAAATAAAAGTTTCCTACTAAGGCAAGTTAATCTTATGTATACACACACACACATAAACACACACACACACACACACACACACACACTCGTATATATAAAATTGTAATGGGGCAATTTATGTAAAAAATAAGACTATATTTTTATTAGTTATTAGAAAACATTGTGACCATTTGCATACAAACAGTTCAAGTTACTAATGATGAATGATCAAGTTTGACTCAGAGATCTTTGTAGCTTAATATGTTGCAATCCTAGTTTGAATCTTTCTTTTAGACATGCTGTGATAATATTGTATGTCTTTAAATTTATGAAGTAATCATTAGTTCAGGAGGCCCAAAGCATATGAATTCTTGAGATTTTATTGTGGTGATTAAAACAAGGGAAATGGTTATGGTTTTCATTTTGACTTTGTGGGCCTTAGCAATACCGATCTTCACTGCCCTGGTCTCTGCATCTCATGAATGAGAATGGGAGTAAAGCCAGCCTGACACACACGTTCTTATATATTTTAAAAGCTGTGAGTCCTGCAATCCTGACAGAATGCTTTTTGCTTATTTTTTCTCTAGCAACAATTAGATATCCCCATACCCAGGTATTTTTTGAAGGAGAAGTTGGAAGTAATAAAAGGAAGAGAGAAAATCCTTGCTCAGATATTAGCGGAGTGTGGACTAGACACACCTGATGTGGTTCGTATCTCATTTTAACAAACAGTATTCCATAAGCTATGTGACTCTTTTTCTGCTGCTTCTAATTAATCTGTGAGAAACAATTATTCTCCACTGGAGGAGTGATGCTTGCTTCCCCCTTTGTTACACGGTACATAAGAAGTCGTCTCAGTTTGGGATGTGTTTGGTGATATACAATTCTTACCTTTCAAGAGCTTGGAAATAGAGATGGAACATAATGCTTTGTTGGTTAGATGAGTGTCTCTGAGACTGAGCTGAATACAGATTCAGAGGAATGCTTTCCCTCAAGTGCATCTGGCCAGAATCAGCGCCTACGTGGTGTTCATGCCCATTAATTAAGTGCCACATTTGAAAGTGCACACAACATTGGCAATGTCTTGCCTTTTCACTTGTGGTGTGCCATTCCGCCACCGGTTTGCCCCGTCCGCCTGCAT